ACATGATTTCTCTGTGTAGGATTCCTTTAAGTCGCGCCGGTATCTCAACCTTTAGTGGGATCAAACTCCATACAGTACTAGCCTCGAGATTGATCTGGACCTCGCTACGATACCGAAATTACGAGAAATACCACAGGAGAGGATCGCTCAGCACGCATCGCTCCACCCATTATTATTTCTTTACATGTAAAAATTGACAAATACTTGTCATAATGGTTACTCAAAAATAGATACTTTTCAATATACTGCGGTCAAGCAGCCCATCACAAACTGAAAAATATTATGATGGTTCTCCTTCAAAGTGCTCATGTGCTTTCAATTTACATCACACAAATCACGCACCGCTACTTGGCAGTAGGGCTAGCTGCCACGTTCGCACTTTTCCAAAACGGCTATCGAGCGAGCGGCGGGGGAGGGGCGTAAGCGGATAGGGGTAAGTTTTTTTTTTGATGAAACGAAAATTCACCACTCTTACCTATTTCTCCACTACCCTAAAATCCCATAGATAAGAGCGGTCCATAGATATTTTTTCAAAAATAAAATAAAAATAAAAATATTTTTTCAAAATCATTTTTTACCGGTAAATTAAACCGCTCTTATCTATGGAATTTTACTGATCGAATGGGCTCTTCAAGTTCTCCTTTTTCCCCTTGTTCTACCCAGAATGCAAATCCGCATTCTAAGAGAGATCCGGCAGAAATTCCGTTAAAATCGCTATTTTCCTATATGAATTGTTCATTAAGTGGGCGGTTTAAGTTGAGGGAGGGACGGAGCTTCTTCTAAACTTCTTCTCCGATTTTTATTTATCCATCCATCAAGTTAGAGGGGTGACTGCATTCAATTTCAATTTCATTCCAATTCATTTTTCACCGGTAAATTAAACCGCTCTTATCTATGGGATTTTACTACTACTACCACTACGACCACCACCACGCCACGTGAGTTACAAATAATTTTCTTCTCTCTCTTTTCTTTGAAATTATCAAAAGTGTAGCTTCACTTAAGCCATTGAGACACGTTGGTGGGCAAATTCGCAGCACTCGAGATTTTGAAGCGTTGCAGAATTCTCTCATCCGCCAGCCACACTTAGAGATGGTGGCCTGCGAAGAATTTCCTCTCTCTCCTCTCAATCAAATGCCCCCTCCCCATCACACTGAGGTGAGATCAGGCATAAATCAGTACTGCTCAATTGTGAACGCAGTAGGCGAGGAGCAGAGCTAGCTAGCTTGCATTTCTCGAACTTTGAGACGCTTCACACGAGGCTGTTAACGCCTTTGTGTCGGTGCTACCCCCAAATTCCTTATCACTTCCAAGAAGGTATCTATCATTGTTTCTAACCTGCTGAGACGACAAAAAAGATTCTTTGAATTCCATGGATATTCTCAATAAAGTTTCCATCTCATCAAAGCCTTCCATGCCAGAATTGACCTTGGCCAGAAGCATGACTTACATCAAAATTTTATGCCACAACTTGAGCACCCCGACGCTGAAATGGAGATCTGCAAACCAGCGACGGGATCCTGGCACTGGCCAACATTCCCTGCTGAGCGATTAGCCACAACAGAACTGCTTCGAGCATGAAAGGTGGCAGTAATGAGTTGATGAATTGGGAACTGCTTCAAAGAAGACGAACTTGTCGAAACGCCAGGTTAATTCACCATTCAGCGCCTGTAAACATTTCATTGCCTTTATGAGCTCTCAATCAAACGAGTTCAATTGGATTTACAGCGTCCACAGCATGTCCAAGCAGGGCGTTCTCGCTGGCATTCAGGAATACTGCTCTTGGGATGCACAATAACTTCAGGTGACATCGATGGACTCGCTGTTTGTTTCTGTAAATTGTTTATTTGTCTGTTATTCTGTTTAGATCCCTCGTTGCTACTGGGCGAGCTAGGAATGGATTTTATTGGAACGAAAATGCACCGCCATCAGCGCTCATGTACCTTCTGGTAGAGATATGCCATCATCAACACGATTCATGAATACGTAGCAATATTCTATCTTCTTAACACAATTCAGAGATATAACTGCTGGGCAGAAGCTTACGCCCAAGCGCACGTAAGAAGCTGCAGCGGACGCCAATCGTATGCTTGGCAAAGACCTGGCTGGAAAGAAAACATCCACATCCTTTGGACGACGGCAACCGATAGACTAGGAGCCATTCAGAATGTAGGTCGAAACCCGGTTCCAGAGCTGAATTTCGTAACATTTGCTTTTTAACACTTACCTCATTCAAACTTCGCTACGAAAATTCCATCAGGCGATAGCAACATGGCAAGCCGAGCTTGCAAGGTTTGGAGTTCCCTCAAA